AAGGGAGGTATTCATGGTGAGTTCCAATTACACATCACTATTGCACTTCTTCCTTTGGAAGCTTACTTGATTTCATTCCCCATATAAAGATCACCTGGGCATATTGGTCAGGGAGACACATTCTGTTCCCAGTACTAAATTACTCTTGGGGTCCAGTATCTCCACCCACAGCAATTCTGTGAAAGAGTCTGCTTCTTTGGGGATTTCTGCTTTGCTGAACTTTAATATACAGAGCAAGACCACCTCTGGTATATGGCTGCCGATCCTTCCTATGTAGCCTGTATCCAGAGATGAGTGTCCCGTTCCACTCTTCCATTTCTCCATTCCACCAGGTTTGGATTATGCCCACTGTGCTCTCCTTTGAGATGAAACCCTCCAGTTTGCCCAGCTTGACTCAGAGGCTTCTAGTCTGGGCATACTACAATTATGTACTGGGTTTCTTACGCACCCTTCACTACAAGTTCTGAGGGCAAGTTGCAACATTATACAAAAATAATAATATTAGAAACGGTTAAAACAAGTTACTACAGTCAGATGAACTGGGTGGATCCTAAAGTCTATAAATCTCAGGTATCAAAAGGCCAGAGTGAAGAGACATGCCTTCAGCATATGTAGAACCCTATAGAAAGGAGGGGCCACACAACCCTTAGTGGGGAGAAAATTCCACAGGTTGGGGCTGCCACAGGTAAGGCCATCTCTTTGACCTCCCCTTCAAACCCACAATTGCCCCACCTGCTGAAACATTGCCCCTGCTTCTGAGTGATGGCTGAATCAGGAGAAGTGCAGCATCTCGCAGATTTACTGAATTCCTGCCCAGACGACTCTGTGGGCAACCCTATTAGCAAGGACAACATTTTCTTGGTTAGAAGTCTTTGGGGGTACCAGGCGAAAGTCCCAGTTCACCCCTTGCAAATCAGTTTTGTGATAGAGCCCAAATTATATAAACTAATTAATTTGCATTGAATGATTGTGATTTTATAATGTTCTAATTTAAACAAGTCAAGCAATTTAAATAACTCATAGTAAAGTTTTAATTTAAACAAAAGCGTAGGAGGACCCAGCTAAACATCAGGGTGGACTCTCTTTCCTTGGATGAGTTTAAGCAGAGGTTGGATGAACATCTGTCATTAATGATCTAGCTGAGATTGCTACATTGCAGGGGGTTGGTCTAGATGACCCTTGGGACCCTGCAAACTCTACAATTCTGATTCTATGACCCAGCATCAGGCATATGAAAGGAAGATCATAGTTTTAATTTAGTTTTCATTCTTGCTTGCCTTGCCCTCACTCTAGCAAACTCATATCTCTCTCTCTCTCTCTCTCTCTCTCTCTCTCAATCTTTAACCAGTAAACTGTGCTTTGTTGACTGCAAGTTCCTAATTCTCTAGCCTTTTTTAAATCTTCAGCTGTTTGTCAACACACATCAAAGTGTCCCTATATATTTCAGAAAGGATTAGGAGGAAGGACATGGGCTGGATTAGAAGGGGTGAGAAATGGATGTTCATTAGCAAGCAATCATCTTCTGGAAAGAAAAAATAATGCTTATGATTAAATGAACAGAATTTGAAGAAGTCAATTTTAAATCTAGCTCAGGAGCGCAAACGGATCAAAGGAGGGAATGTAAATACACCCCTTAGGCCATGACTTGTTATGGAAATTCAGAATAACCTATATCATTTGAAATGCATGGACCTCCCTCAGTTGAAATCCTCTGGACCAAAACAGTATGAATATCAGACTGTGGACTCTCAGCTGCTCTTACAATAGCACATCACTGGCATTTCTATGGGACAACTTCAAGCGACTGTGGTTGAGAATCTGACTTTGCAGGTCCCTTCAATCTCATCTTGTCAGTTATGTGTGTTATGCTCTGAATTGTTCTGTCTGGTTTTATGAAAGTAGAGCAATAAATTAAGCCTCTCAAGTTCTTTGCTTTAATTTAAATGACAACATATTATACCTTTGCAGCACATTATTTCCCTCAAAGAATTCTGGGCACTGTAGTTTCTTAAGGGTTGCTGGGAATTGTATCTATGTGAAGGATAAACTACAGTACCCAGAAGTCTTGGGGGGGTGCTTTGAATGTACGGTACTTTGTAAATACAGGGTGGGGAATGGTTTTCACATTGAGTGTTGTATTTCCTCATGGAACCCTCTGGTGCCAGTAGTGGACAGGGCCACAAGCAAAAATGAGTTGAGCAGTGGATATGACTCTTACCTTTCTACAGTGGGCTACACTCCAGCCAAAGGTTTCCACAACACACACACCCCTCCATCTAGGCAAGCAAGGCCCCTTCCCAAATATTCAAGGACACCAGTGTGAACAGGGCTGGGCAAAAAGTCCTAAGGGGCTGTATAGTGAAAGGGCTAGAGAGCATCATTTATGCCTTCAACCTGAGATTCCCCATACCTGATATAAATACTGAAGGCATAAAAACCATATGTAGGGAGCCTCCGCAACACTAATCCATTATGTCATTTCTGGTGTAGTAGTGAATTTGTAATAGAGGAAATCATTAGGCACATTTTACAAATCAATTCAATATTGCTCCTCTTATGAATCTATGAGGTAGCCCTGGAGCCCTTATTGTATCCTGTCCATGGCCTTCGCAAACCTGGTACTCATCGGTTGCCATCAACTCCAGCCAAGACGGCTGCATAAAGACTCCACAGTGTTGCTATTGGTTGCAGCCAGTCAGGAAACAGGCCTGCACTGCAACACATCTATAGCGTGCTCCATAAAACTCATGACACAAACCACCATGGAGAATTGCTTTAGCTGGGAAGCCCGCTCAACAAAGTAATCTTTCTGAGGGGCAAAGCAAGAGTGACAGGTTTTAGGAGACATGGCAACTGGGGTCCCCTCGCCCCGCTTTATAAACTAATGTGAAAATCACGTCTGTCGCACGTATTGTGTGAATCTTTACAGAAAGGCATTCTGGAGTCATCTTCTCCATCCCTTGATAGCATTTTATTTCTTACCTTCAACAATGGTGCTCTTGATTTTTTTCTCTTTCCTGCGTTGCATCCATCAGCCTCCAGAGTGTAACATACCATTTTGACATTTTCTGGTATCTTTCCTACGGCTCTGATTACTGATTTGTATCCTGTAAAAACACACACTGCATTTTTTTGTTCCCAATTTGTAATCAAAATAATAAAAAGGCTGTTCTTATGTGTGTGGAACTAGTATGAATATACAGTGAACTGACTGGCCATGTGGTCCAAGAGCAAAAAGAATAGCATTGATTTATATTTCACTTGCCATTTTTCTCCTGGTGCAGCACAATCACATATTACATGCATTTAACTTATGTGATGTCAACTATAGGCAGTTGAATTCCCACAAGTTATAAGCAGAGTTGGTGCGTGGAGAGGGCCTTGCTTGAGAAGCAACACAATGAGCTTAAAAAGCTCACCGCACCACATTTTCCTGGAGCAAAATTTAAGCTCTCTACTTTTGTTTCCTGAGCAAGGCTCCCACAAGATCTCACAGGAACTTGGGCGGTCCCAAAAGACCTTGTGAGAGCATCCCGGGTTTGCTGGAGCTTGCGCAGGGGTTCAGTTCTAAGGGTTTGGGTATTATGCATTTTTGCATATACACAGAACCCTTGGAATTGAACTCTGCATAAGATAAAATCATACTGTATTATGTGCTGTCCCACCCACCCCAGACCACGTTTTCTTTTGAGTTGTAAACATGTGACCTGACCTGCCCCTCAACATCAAGAAAGATTTACATTTCTAAAAATACGGACCATTCTTTTAAACAAAACAGAACACTGACTGCTTAGGGGTTCACAAACATGGACCATCACAGAAAACACGCACAAAATGTAAGTAAGGATCGGATGCTATTTCATCAGAAGTTCACAAACTCTTTGCTCCCAGGGTGAAAAGGATCACTCTGTTAAGGGGTCTCTGCATCATTTCTTTACATGACTTATATGCCAACACTCACCATTCATGGTTGGAGAAAACTGACCCAAATCTGACCCACTTTTTTATCTGGGCTGGCTTTTGAGCATGCACAGAAGTGAGAATTTTAATGTTATGATTATTTATGGTGTTAAAATGTTACGCCATTTTAAGTGGCTGGCTTTTTTGAACACCATTTCCTGTCCATTACATGTATGGGGACAATTTGATGGGTGCTGCTCCCACACCTTTCCTTCCATTTTTTTCTATGAACCAAAAGGAAAGGGTGCACTTTTCCCACCAGTTGGTGCTGAAGGCATGTTCACAGAGCAGAAGTACTCTTGCAAAAAGAAAAAAGAAAAAGAAAGTTAAAAATAAAAACAAATTTTGCCCTTGTAAGTACAGGAAGCAGGAAAGGAAAAGGGAAGGAATGCTTGGCTTCCAAAGAAGGAAGGAAGGAAGACTGCTCTTTTGTGCAAATTGGCATATCAGAAAATCTGTATTTCAAAAATACTGTTTCTAAAAAAAAGGTGTGCATGCACAAGTAAACAATCTTTGCCTCCAAACCTACAACAGATGTCAGAGTTGTTGATGTATTATTTTTTGCAGCTCTTTTATGCAAATCTCATAGATAGCTAGTATTTTTTTTAAAAAAATACTTGTTTTAAGGTGCATGCACACAGGTAAACATACCAAGGCGCATGCCCACAAAAGATATCTGGCTCCTGGAACCTACGGTGTGTAGGGTGCACTCATTGCGCGAATGGAAGAACAACACACAGTGCTACTGTATCCCTTCAAGCAGCAACCACTAGCATGAATGGGAAACGGACAGGTTTTGGAGGCATACAATTGAAAGCACTCATGTGTGGAGGAAAACACACATGCACATTAGCACCCTAGTGTGGACACAGCTACCTAACTACTTGTATTACATTCCTTGAAATACACATCACTGCTTTCTTTTCATCTCAAGGGAATCATACAATTCATAAATTAACTTCTATTGATTCCACAATCTCTCTCCATCATACAAACCAGGCATGCATACAGCCTAGAACAGAAAAATCATAACCAAACACTTTATGCTTCGCTCCAGTTTATTAAAATGCAAAACAACATTTTAGTCACCAACCCACCCCAAATCCAAGTTAAATATAAACCCACTGGAGAGCCAAGCTCCAACTCCTTCTCACACGTGCACACACACAACTGCACCCTTTCTGGGCCTTGCCCTGGTCCCAGCGCCAGGCTGATTGACACAACCTGCTCTGCTGAACAGTTCTGGGTCAACCACTCATGGCAGCAAGATGGGCGAAATCTACGTACCTTCAGCCCAGCGGGTGGCAAAAGAGAGGGCAGGCAGCCCCAGAAATACTGTTCATCCCCACAGTGCCAGAGCCAGCCTGGCATCAGGGGGTTGGTAGACTCTCCCTGTGAAAGCACCCACCAGGTCTGTGCCACCCTCTTGCCCCTACCACTCCTAATCTGAGGCTAAAGCAGCCCGAGTCGCCGTTTCCAAAAGGAGCAACACCGGACAAAGAGAAAAAAATAACCAACCAGAATCCCTCTGCCCCTCCCACCCACAGAAGATTATCCTGCACCTGCACCTGGAGTGTCCATTAAGTTAACACCCAAACTGCAGCAAGGGGACCAAGCAGTGCTCCTGAACGGGCAGCTTCTTTCCTTCCTGCCTCTACTGCCCCAGAATCCAGAAACCCCAAGCCAGCCTCCTCGGCTTCAGCCCACCCCACACTCACACAGAAGCCTCTTCTAAAAGCCCTGGTGCCGCCAAGGCAGAAGTCCCACAGCAGGCCCTGCCTGCCCTTGCTCGGTTGGCACTTGCAGCTGTTAATCCTGCAGGCTGGGGGGAGGACCTGGGCCTGCATGAGGGGAACAGAGCAAGGCAGAAGTGGGACTGGATCCTGACCACCCGCCAATGCCCGCTTTTGGTCCACAAGGCAACCTGGACAGCCAAGCAGAACCGCTCCCTTGAGACCCAGCCTGAGCCATCCTGGGCCGCCGTCCTCTGCCGCTACAGGGAAGACGCGCAGGGGGAGAGGGGAGGTGGCAGGCTGGCCCCGGCCCCGGGCTCATGTGCTGTTGCCCTGCTCCTGTTCAAAGAGCACCATGGCCAGCTGCGCCCGGGAGCCCAGGCCCTCCAGACTGCTCTGCACACAGCGGTGGTACTGCTCCTCGCTCAGGCGCGGGTTGCAGCCGTGCGGCCGGTAGCGCTGCAGGAGGGCCGGCTCCACCGCCCGGAAGACATGCAGGTTGGAGTACTTGACAAACAGGTCGTAGATGTCCAGCGTCTCCAGGATGTCCTCGTTGTCCTGGGCATCAGCCGCCATGCGCGTGCGTGCCGCCATGTAGTCAGCGTTGTAGAAGCAGGCTTCGCTGAAGGCGTCGCGGTCAAAGTGGCCGGCATCCCGCACCAGGTCCAGGCCGGACAGAGGCGGGGGCTGGTTGTGGAAGGCGATGGTGGGGTTGTATCCCTGGAAGTGGATGGGGAAGAAGACCTGCCAGCTGTTGATGGTGTTCATGCGGCAGCGGTTGAGGAACTCGGCCGTGACCTCGGTGCCCACACCAGCCACGAAGAAGAGCGTGTCCACAGGGTGCTTCTTGGAAATGATGTCCATCACCTTGATCTGGGAGGGAGCATCTGTCTTGACACTGATCCAGGGGATCTTCACCTGCGCATAGCGCCGCTCGTACTCCGCAATGCGTGCCTTCACTGCTCGGAAGACGTCATTCTGGGCCACTTGCTGAGCCTCAAAGGGGTCGTAGATGAAGAGGAAGGTCAGCACGGCGTTCTCTGCATTCTCAAAGGCGGCCGCAGCATAGACCTCCAGGAAGCGCGCGGCATAGTCTCGCTCCGGGGCTGTCAGGGGCAGGATGACGTTGACCCGGCTGGCCTCTGTCACGTAGGGCATCGGGATGATCTCCACCTCGCTGAGAGGGCGCAGCAGGTGCACGCGCTTGGCCAGCGATCGGCTGTGCCCCTTCTGTGTCACCACTTCCAGCTGCAGGTCCAGGGTGTACTCCATGCCCCGAGTCGGGTCAAAGCGGCGGTAGCCGTTCAGCAGCTGCTGCTTCCGGACGTGCAGCAACGGCTGGTACCGGTGGTTCAGCTCTTCCACAGCTGCAGCCACAACGTCGGCCACATCAGCTGCATCTGCACCATGCAACTCGCACTTGGGAGCTCCATCCACGCAAGAGAAAGCCGCCTCTTCCGTGAAGTAATCCCAGCGAAGCACCTCAAAGCGGGTTTTGGGCTGGAAAGGGGGAGCGATGCCAATGGGCCAGGTGGCACTCAGGTCGCCATCTGCAGACAGGCTGCTGGTGTTCTGGATCTCGAGCTGAAAGGAGAGGGTGCAGGTAGAGTCAATGTAGGCTCAGAATTTAGTTTTTCAGAACTCCCAGCAGTTCCAAATGAATTAAGAGGCACACACAGAAACACACACACACACACACACACACTCTCTTAAGGCAAACTTTCCCCATAGCTAAGAGCAGCTCCCATATTTACTTGGATATTAGCCTTTCTTTCTTTCTTTCTTTCTTTCTTTCTTTCTTTCTTTCTTTTACACACACCCCTCTACCTTCCAGGTAAATCTTCATTCAGAGGACCTGTGGTTCTCCAGATGTAACTGACTCCAGTTCCCATCATCCCTGAGCACTGGCCACAGTGGCTGTGGCTCATGGGAACTGGAGTCAAACCACATGCAACCACAGCTTCCCCATCCCTGCACTACAGTCAGGTCAGGCACGTCTCTTTAGGATGCCTGACTGGAATACACAACTAGGCGTCCATGAACACTTCAAAAAGCTAAGTACTTCCACCCCTCCAACGCTCCCCAATAGACAAATCATCCATTACGTGCTTGAGGACCATTAAGTTTGACCACCCCTCCAGCATAGCTACCCCGGAGCGGAAATCAACAGGGGCACTGCCAGCTAGACCATGACAAGTGGCGAGCCGAGCCTGCGACAAACTGCACTGGGGCACCAGACCTTTCCATATGAGCCCAGATGAACTTCTGCCCAACCCAAAGAGTAAGCGCATTAAACAAGAGCAGGATCAGCAAGCAGCAGGGTGTGCCAAGTTATACCATCCAGCCACCTGGTGGCAGTGTGGTCCCACACTATGAGCCCACCTCTGGGGCTAGCTTACCTGCACTGTTTTGCCCCATGAAGTACAAAATAAAACAGTATTGTGGTGAAAGATGGGCCACATGGTTCAAAGCAGCCTGTATTTAAGCCAGTCTCTTCACATGCGCCTGTATATCTCACCACACCCAAATACTGAATCCATTCTTCAGCATTTATTGCATTTAAATTAGGCCACATTAATTAAATTAACACACTTTTGGTTTATATATTGATCCCTTTAGAAAATTCTCCATAAATTATTTCCAATTTTATTTCTGGCTTTCAGTCAGGAAAGAACGTGTTGGGTCTGCCTTGCCTAATGTGCCTGCAGTATTGTGTTAACAGTAGAACCTCGGTTTTTGAACATAATCCGTTCCGGAAGACCGTTCGATTTCTGAAACATTCGAAAACCAAGGTTCAATGGGCAGTTGGCAAAATCCATTGAAAAAATGGAGAAATGCCATTCAGATGCCATTCAACTTCTGAGGCGCATTCGAAAATGGAAGCAATTACTTCCGGGTTTTCGGCATTCGGGTTCCGAATTGTTTGGCTTCCAAGATACTCAAAAACCAAGTTTCCACTGTACTTTCTTATATTTTTGGGTTGAGCTGTTAGTCTTGGGCCATAAATTAACTCTGGGATTCAACAGTCCTGTTATCACGTTGTTTGAATATACTGTTTCAGTGCTGCCATTTTTAGATACTTTAATTATTGATTGCATTTTTTCCATGTTGTGCACTGCCCTGGGCTCTCTTCTGAAGAGGAGAGGTAGAAAAATGAAGTTTAATTAATTAATTAATTAAAATCAAAATAGACACCATGAAGCCCCTAAACTGGCTGGTAACCACATCACCCCCAAGTAGGTGAGAGCCTTCAACCCAGCTCTCACCACTGCTAGATGACGCTCTGAGTCTAAATTAGGTGGAAAAGGCAGCTCCCCTCAGCTTAGGTCCCAGTCCGTAACAATCAGGAGTTGGTTTGGCAAAGGAAGCAAGTGAATTTTAAATACATGTAATTACAGCTTTTACCACCTTTTAAAATGTGTTCATTGGTTTATGGGAAAGGTTTCATTGCCCTTTATTTATTTATTTTTGTGTCCAGATTAATATACTGTCATTATTTAAGAAAAGTTCCATTAATTCATAGCAGAATGCAATGGATTAAATATAGTTCGCCTGGTCAAATTATAATTACCCTAATTAATCTCTCTCCATTGTTTATCACTACTCAGACACCACCTGCTGCTCAAAAAAATGACACCTTATGCTGGTGGGCAATTGAGCAAAACACTTTACATTTGCTTCCTCTCCAGGGAGAGATCTCTGGCCCTTGGGGGCTCCACACTCTCTTCCCCTCCAAGCAGGGCATGCTCTCTCTCTGTTACTCCCCCTTCCCCTTTCAAAAAAAGCCTCCAAATACATTTGCTGTTGTTGTCATCAAGTCCTCCAGGATCCATGGGGGAGGGGGTGGGAGAACTGACCATCATGTCATTTCCCCACCACCAAAATATATGCTTTTTCTTTCTCCCCATTTCTCTCTTTTTTAAAAAAGTTATTTTAAAATGGATTTTCATTTTTTATTACACACATTACTGCATATTACTTTTATGTCATAGTCCCCAAGTGCCAACTGGCAGGGGCACTATATAAATAAATCACTTTAAAACTTATTATAACCTAAGGCAATAGACTCAAATATTAATTTACAGCAGCGCAAAGAAAAGGAAAACCCAATGTGCAATAGCAATCAATGTAATTTAATGTAGCTCCTGAGCACCTGTATGCATTTTCGGTTCCATATTTTACAATTTTTCAAGTATGTTTTCACACATCTCGATATTCTGCCGATTTTATTACATGAACCAAAAGGCTAATAGCGTAACCTATGAAGGCATCAATAACGCCACCCAGTTCCCGGCTTATAGCACGCAGAGTTGCAGCCTATGAGTCAAGGTCCATCGTGGTAGCCAGTGCTATGCTCAGCAATGAGATTAAGAAGCAGACAGCTGTCTGGACCGGTCTGGCATTTCCCCAAAAGCAAACCTCCACTTTGGAATCTAGGAATTGCCCTTCTTGGCTGATCAAACATGCAAGCTTGCTGCCTAAACCTCCAAACTTATGATTTGGGTTAAGACCTTCATTGAAGGAATTCCACTGCAACAATGCACACTAAGATTCAGCTTGAGGTTATCTGGAATGCATATACAGTGGTACCTCGGTTTAAGAATAGCCCTGTTTACAAATGATTCGGTTTATGAACTCCGTAAAACTGGAAGTAGTGTCCCGGTTTGCGAACTTTACCTTGGTCTAAGAACAGAAGCCGAATGGTAGAAGGGCACCGGCGGTGGGAGGCCTCATTAGGGAAAACGCACCTCGGTTTAAGAATGGTTTCGGTTTAAGAACGGACTTCTGGAATGGATTAAGTTTGTAAACCAAGGTACGACTGTATATATATTTTAAAAAAGCAAACCTATTAACCAAAAATTCTATATATTTTTAAGTTTCACTAGTGCACTCTTTATTTTCCCAGTAAAAAGTGGTAGTTAATAGGTCAGCGAATTGATGGGTTGGAACTGCAGCTGGAGGAAATGGGTTTGGAATGAGAGAAGCAGTGGGTGGGGAAAAGGTTAAGTGTGCATGGAAGCAAGCCAGCACACGGACACACGCACACACCATCACCACTTCAAATTCAGCCCTGCCCCCTCCCCAGCCAATCTCCAGTGGTGAAGCTACAGCCAGGGGTCAGAGCTCAGCATGTGCTGCCAAAGATGGAGATTTCAGAAACTGCCAACATGAGGGTTGCCACAGTTAAACCCAAATCCTTGGGGGAAAAGGAAAGGTATAGCTTCAGATTCAAACATCCCCAACGAATGGATTGTCCAATAAAATCAAGAGCGCCCCAGGTTCCCCATCTCCGCCCTAGAAGACATCAGAAGTGAAATGGGCTCAGTTACTTTCTACAGCTGAGCTACACTGGAGAAAGCCAGCGTGGTGCAGTGGTTAGAGTGTTGGGTTAGGGCATGGGAGGCCAAGTTTCAAATCCTCACTCAGCCAGGAAGCTCACTAAGTGATCTTTGGCCAGTCAAAGTCCCCCTACCTCACAGGGTTGTTGTACAGATGGAATTGGGTAGGGAAGAGGAGTATACGACAATCTTGAACTCCTTGAAGGAAAAGGTGTGACATAAATGTAAAAATAAGCAAAACACGGCTGACTTTCCTATAGCTGGTAAGCAAATGTAGTGCCACAATGGAAACTGTGGCGCATGAGGAGAGTGAACAGAGTCCCCCACTCTGCTCAGCCAGTTACAGATCCAGGTCCAACGTCCTCCCCGTCTTACCTGTAGCCGCTGGATTTCCTGGTATGTGTGCTCCAGTTCCACACGCGCAAAATGTCTGTGCAGCCGGTACATCTGGACAGGGTCCAGCACAGGGTGAACAGTGAAGGCCGTGTTGAATCGCGGGTCGCTCTCTCTCTCAGGGTCAGTGTTCTTTCCAAGTTCAAAATACTGGTAATGCAGGCCCTGGTGGGGAGAAGGAATAAGAGAAAAACATCTGACGGGGAAATCCAGGCCATCCATGTTAGTACATATAACCATGACATACAACCAGCCGGTATTCCCCTCCAGTTGTAAGGGAACAAACGCGTGTCTGAAGAGGAAGCTCAGCTTTCAACTGGGATCAAGAATTCATCCTGTCATATTGAGTGTTTGGTTCCTCCCCCTAATCTTTGAAACACGTGATCATGTTCATTCCACATTTGCAAGGATATCAATCCCATGGCTTAGCAGCACCTACACTGCAACTCCCTGCCCCTTCATATTAGGCAGGTGCCTCCGCCACATTGTTTTTTGTACCAATAACATTTGCGTATATTGTATGTAAACCGCTTGGAGGTTTTTTATGATTCAGTAGTATATACAAAATAAGTTAAATAAATGAACACAGGAGAGGGACACTACAGTGCAGCTGGCCCTTCTTACCTCACGCTCTGCCACACAATCTACCCCAGTGTAGTCAATGATGCAGCGCCCCAGCCACTCATCGGGATGGGCGCTCAGGATGTCGTTCCGGCAGCTTTCCAGGTGAGGCTGCAACCGCAGGAGAAGGGCCCGGGAAAGCAGGTAGCCGAAGCCGCCATAGCAGTAGCGCCCTTGCGTGTCCCCACCAATGAACTCCTCTGGCCGGCCCATGTAGAGCAGAGTGTCAATGCTGAGGTGAGAGGCCAAGCGGTTCACACGGTGGGCCTCGGTGTAGGTGTCGTCCTGCACCAGGAAAACCCAGTCGAAGTCAGCCACGTAATGGTCCAGCACATACTTGACAGTCTGGTACATGTTCCAGATGGGCCTCTCGTCACCGTGCGTCACCACCGTCATGCCGTGAGGAACTTTGCGCCCCCGGGTGCCCGTGAAGTAGACCAATCGCTCCAGCCGGTGTCCCAAGGTGCGGTTCACCGCCACTGCGAGGGAGTGCAATGTGTTCTTCGAGGTCAGCACTCCCACAAAGAGGCGCTGGCGCATGCCCAACTCCGTGCTGATGTATCGGGTCCTTTGGGGGAATGGAAAGGGCAGGCAGAAAGAGAAGGTGAGGCAGTGAAGGAGGTGAAGAGGAGCCTACAAACTTCCACCACCAACATCCCCGACCGACTGAGGAAGCATCATCTCAGCCCTGTGTTTCTGAGCATATTTGCAAACACCTTCTGGAGCATTTGAAGAGTGGGATCTGCTGAGACAAGGCTTTGCGCTGCAAGCAGCAAACAATCGTTTCTCCTCAAGCCCCACTTTCCCCATAAAATGACCACAGCGCTTGCCCCACTCGCACATGCCAGCACTGGTGCAGGAGCTGCTTCCATGTGGTGCAATCCCATGCAGCTGCTGGGTGTGTGCAAATGTGAGAATGCAAGTGTTGCATGACTGGGCCTCATGGCATAAGCCTTCACTTAGCCGGGAATGAAAATGACAAAGGGGTGGGAATGGCCCATGAGGTTCCAGTATTCACACACACAAAAAAACCCCACAGCAACGGGGGACTACAACACAAAAAAGTGGCTGGCATGTGTGCGCATGCACAGGGACAAGGGTGTGTGTGCCTTAATCTGTAATCAAAATGGCATCTTAAGTGATACATTTACCTACACTGCTCTTTTGCTACCTTTACCTCTCCAATCCCTCTCTGCTTTCTCTCGCCACTGTCATAGTTAAGCTTGCAAGGTACACCCCCAGAGCGAAGGAATCAGTCCTTTCTTTTTTGGCCTGTGCTATCCTGTAAAGCCTGTTGTCTTTGTCCATTGAGTTTTCTTGGCAGGGATACTGGAGTGGCTCGCCAGTTCCTGCTCCAGGTGGATCATGTTTGGTCAAAACTCTCCACTATGACCTGTCCGTCTTGGAACGGATGAAATTAAAAGATGCCTGCTTCTTGGGAGAAAAGCAATGACAAACCTAGACAGCATCTTAAAAAGCAGAGACATCACCTTGCCGACAAAGGTCCGTATTGTTAAAGCTATGGTTTTCCCAGTAATGATGTATGGTAGTGAGAGCTGGACCATAAAGAAGGCTGATGGCCGAAGAATTGATGCTTTTGAATTATGGTGCTGGAGGAGACAGGGCTGTCTTAAGCATATGTGGCGCCGGGGTGCAAAGATCCACCCGGCGCCCACCCCCCCAGGTTGCCCAGAGTTGTTGAGCCATCTCAGCAACAACAGAGTAGCCTGAGGAGGTGGCGGCAGTGGCAGCAGAGCAAGGCCGGGACCGGGCACCTGGGGTGGGGTGGACAAGCAGAGCCCAGCGCAACAACAGTTGAGCCCGAGGAGGAGGCGCTCTGACGGCCTCTGCTCGGCAGCAGCTGTCGGCTCTTCCCAATCCCCGGACTCCAAATCTCGGCCCTGGACTCTTGGCCTGCCGTCCCTGAGAGCCCAGCACCTGGCAGCCCTAGCACCTATGTGTAAGACAGCCCTGACCTCAGCAATAACCAAGAATGTGTTCTGCAACTTATGTAAGAAACCCAGACTCTCACACAAAGCAACAGAGTATCCCAGAGTGCAACCCCATTGCCTCTGAAATCCTTTCCACATTATTCTCCAGCATGAGGCTCAGGTTCAGCATCCTTCTGCATTGTTCTTTCCACCAAAGGAGATCTGAACTGGTTCCCCAGCTCAGAAACCAAGTTTCCATGAAGGCTGAGGGGGTACCACCACCATATATCTGAGGGCAACCCCTACGATCGAGAGAGATTCCTTGCATCTCTTAAAATATTTACTCTCACTATAAGAGAGCAAGAAGAATGTATATTTAAAGAAGAGTAGAAAATATTTATTTAATATATGGAAAATAATTGTACGCAGCTGAAAACGCTGTCAGCATTAAGATAAATTCAACAGAGTAAACAATATTTGATTGATGTAAAAGTGGAAAATTGGATTTGAATGGTTATAATAAAATATGCAGGAACGTATGATATGTAAGATGAACCATGGAAGGAGAAGAGAAGTCATTGGATATTTTAACATTTGTAAAATATTTATTTTGAAATGTAGAAAAATGAAAACTCAAATATATATATATATTTGAGTGTGTGTGTGTACACACACACACACACACTCACAAGCCATTTTAGACACGCTGCAAGCAACTGAAGCCAACCTGCAAGACAGACACCCAGATGGACAAATTAGCAAAATGCTAGAGAGGGTAGCCATGGCTGAGCAGAGCTCACTTGGCCTCAGCTTCCATGCTAGACGGCCCCCTAAGGAGCTAATCATAATCCCCAACTGAGTAGCAAGAGGAAGGAGCAATAGTGTAAGGCTCAAGAGTGTGAAGAGAAGGGGAGGGTGTCAAGACTAGAATCCAAACGCCTAGGGAATTCAGCTTCCCACCATAATTTGACTGCTGCAATTGTGAATCTGGAGGGGGCAGAAAGACTCTGACATCTCCCAATTAGGTAGGGGCTGCGTTAAGAAAATGGGGAGGGGGGTATCTTGCTCCCTGTGACATTACAGTTGGTGTTAGGATGCAGGTGGCCTGTCTCTTACAATAAGTTTCAGGTTTTAATTATTCAAATGCAGCAGGAAACCTTTCCTTCCTTCCTACCCACCCACCCCCATTCCACTCACACAGTGGGCTCATTCAGCCCCTCCGCTTCCTGCCCATCCCACCCACCCTCACTCACTCACTCACTCACTCCTGGGGACAACACAGCTCATTCAGTCCCTCGTCCCTGGGCCCCCAACCCCTAGCATTGATCTCACCCGTTTTTTGAGTTGAGGGCACAGGAGAAAGGAAGAGATGGTAATCCTGGTGCCAGGGATCAGAGGGGGAGAAACAAAGCAGAGTTTCTCCCCGCCCCCCACATCATGACTGGGAAGGGGGTGGGGAACAGGGATGAGGGGTGCTCATGGGGCTCACTTAGACAAGCAATACTCCCAAGGCTGAGAAGGTGAGAAAATAAAGGGGCCAACACACACTGCAGAGAGAGGCAGGCAAGGAAGGAGTGCTGGTGGGAGAGAAAGCAAACACAGAAGATCTGGCACAGAGATGCTGAGGATAAAGGCTTGACATAGTTAAACCTTGTAAGGAACAGGGCAATTCCCTGAAAAGGAGGGAGGGAGGGAGGGACAGAGAGAAAGAGAAAATGCAGAGAGATAATAAAGGCAAGGCAGTCTTTTGGACTGCCAGCAGGCAGTATTAACCACCAGTAACCCCAGCAAACACAGACAGACACATGCACACACTGAGAGTGGGAAGGAGCAGATGTCACTATAAATTGTCAGAATAAATGACACTCTTAACTAAAAAGAGCAATGAACTGGGCAACCGGCAAACAGAATGTGTGACTATAGGAGCAGCAAGTCTCCTGGTTCCCTTTCCTGGAAACAGACAAAAGCATGCACACACACCCCTCATTCCCATCTCTGGGGAAACAGTGGCCAGGTATGTATGATCAAAGTCTACCTTAAGTAAGCCAAGTTAGGTACAATGTTTGTGCAACTGCACACACCCTCTGAGTGCCCACACTGCTTCTCCCTTTCATGCAAGCAGCGAAACAAACTAGGAAGCTACAGTGAGTCCACCATGATTTAAAGTAGGGCTCTAAATCCTGACTTGTTTGGAAGCCCTTAAACACATTTCCCAAATTGGTTAACTGCAGCTTTCTGGCTTGATTCTGCACTTGCACAAAGGGAGAAATGAAGAGAAAAATGGGTGCATTTGAGAGCACAAAGCCTGTGTATATCCTGGCTCATTAAGCTAGGATCTGATAGTCTAAAGCAGGCCAGAAACTTTAGAATGTGGTTCTTTGTAACTGTTAAAGCTCACTATGCCTGTGCCTTTGGGCTCTCTGCACTCCAGACCCAAAGGGAGAAAGTGTTCCCTGCCCACATGGAAATCTCTGCATGGCTCTAATTTCCAGAACTGAGCCTGTATCCTACTGGGTTACACAGAGTTAATGGGACCACTACAAGACGCGGGTGGTGCTGTGGGTTAAACCACAGAGCCTAGGACTTGCCGATCAGAAGGTCGGCGGTTCGAATCCCCGTGACAGGGTGAGCTCCTGTTGCTCCTGCTCCTGCCAACCTAGCAGTTCGAAAGCACGTCAAAGTGCAAGTAGATAAATAGGTACCACTGCGGCGGGAAGGTAAATGGAGTTTCCGTCCGCTGCTCTCATTCACCAGAAGCGGCTTAGTCATGCTGGCCACATGACCTGGAAGCTGTACGCCAGCTCCCTCATCCAATAAAGCGAGATGAGTGCCGCAACCCCAGAGTCAGTCACAACTGGACCTAATGGTCAGGGGTCCCTTTACCTTTACAAGACTATACAGGCTGCAGACACTGCGATTTTTTGTGCCTGGAGCATCACAGGTGGGTGGGTGGAATGGACCTCTTTCCGAGGGATACTTTCTACACTCCATTTTGTGTGCTACAGAACTCAACTATGCTCATAGAAAGCCGCAAGAAGGATGTTCCCAGAATTGGACACTGCTGATCACAGACCATGCAGAATGACCTCAATCTTCCCAGAAGCAAATTCAGATAAGACAAGGAGTGAGGAAAAGAAGCTCCAGCAGCTGAACCAAGAGATAAGAGGCAAAAAGCCCATCATCTAAGGGGGTGGGACTGCCATGCTCCCTTAAAAACCTATTCTCCGGACCCTGAACCCACATACTTAAACCATTAGCCTCCTCCTTCATTTCAGCTGTTATTAAATAATAATACTGCAAGATAGCGCTGTGCTTGTTTTGTTTTAAATTGTGTGGATTTGTTATAATCTTGCAAGTTGAGAAAGGCATCCAAGAAGTGTAATAAATAATTATTATTCATAGATCACTACCAAGCATTAGGGAGCTGGCCCTCTTGCTTTTCTTTCACCTCTTCTCTGTTCACCAGCACATCCTCCTTGAACCAAATAGGCAAACCTTTTTAGAAACAAAATATCCGCCTGATGAAGTTAAACAACAGATCAACAAAGCCAGACCCAAAAGAGAAAATAACAGAACACCACTAGTAATCATGGACGCGGGTGGCGCTGTGGGTAAAACCTCAGCGCCTAGGACTTGC